GAAGGAAATAAGCACTTATGTAGGGCTTACTATATGCTGGGCACTTTTTACAAATATCTCATTTGATCCTCACAACAACCCTGCCAAGTAGATGCTATTATTATCCTCCAAAATGAGAGTTGAGGAAACTGAGGCAAGAAGAGGTATACATAGATAATAGATAGGTAAATAAAGCATTTATTAAGCACTTACTATGTTCCAGGCACCATGCTAAATGCTGAGAATACAAGTACAAGCAAGGAAATAGTCCCTGCCTTCACAGAACTTACATTCTAGTGGGGAAGATACAAAGAGGAGAGTTAGAAAGGTGTGGGAAGAGAGTATATGGAAGGCAGCAAGGCATGGAAATGACTGGGAAGTCCAGAGAAGAACTGGAACCAGGCAAGGGAAGGCCCAGACTGGCCTCTCCAGAGCAGAAGTTACATCCTATTGAGTCAGTTGGTGACACTGAATGAAGCCCAGGGGGAGAAGGTAGGACTAGAAAAATAAATCTGTGAATCATCTGCATAGAGCTAAGAAATTTTTTTTAATTGATTATTTTTTTAAAAAATTTTCAGTACCAAATTCTCTCTTTCCCTTCATCCTCTTCCATACCCATTGAAGGCAGGCAACATGATATCAATTCTACATGGGACATCATGCAAAACATATTTCCATATTATCCATGTTGCAAAAAAAAAAGGGCAAGAAAATAAAGTGAAAAAAGTATGTTTCAATCTGCACTCAGTTGATCAGTTCTTTCTGTGGAGGTGGATAGCATATTTCATCATGAGTCCTTCAGAATTGTCTTGGATCATTATATTGTTCAGAGTGAGCCAATAAATAAATTCAATGAAAATCACATCTATTAGTCTTGAAAGACCTTTAGTCTCAGTGCTGAACCTGACTTTCTCTGTGACCTTGGACAAGAAGATGCTTCATTGTTTCTAGCCCTCAGTGTTCTCATCAATCAAATGGGGACAATAATTCCTTCCATACCTCAGTCATGGGTGTTGGGTGAGCATCCAGTAAAAGAGAAGCAAGGGGAAAGCGCCTTTTTCAAGAAGTGTATGATCAGCAAGGGAGACGGGCCAGCCACCAAGCAAGAGCTGTTTGGCAGCCTTAGTGCCATGCTGGTACCCACAAAATGTTCAAAGACCTAGAAGGAGGGCTCTTTAGCATATTAGGTTGACTTGGAGTCAAGAAGATATCAGTTCAAATCCTGCTTCCAGTGTTTAATAGTGTGTGACCATAACCAATTTCTGTGAGCCTTGGTTTAATGACCTCATCCATAAGATGGGTATAATAATACATGAAGCCAAATGGGCAGTTGGCACAGCAGATACAGGGCCCACTTTGGAATCACGAAGACTTGGCTTCACATCCTACCTCTGACAGTTACAAAGGGTAAATCTGACCAGGGACAGATCACTCACCTTCTCAGCCCTCCCCCCCTGCCACCCCACTCCAAACTATAATTTATAGAAAAGCTGCTGCTGAATCACTAGAGGATTGATGTAGAGCTCAGGAAGGAACTTTGGAGGTCATTCAGCCCTCCTCCCTTATTTTACGGATGAGGAAAATCAGACTTCAGGGGGTTAAACCACTTGCTCACTCACCATCTGCATCACTGCAGGGAGATGCCACACCTAATGTGGCCCACACTCGTGAAATCTCAGGTGTGGAAAAGCTAGAACCACCAAAGTACCTGGGATCATTTTGAGCTGGAAGGGACCTAAAAGCCATGTAGACCTACTCTGTCCTTTTACAAAGGAGTAGAGGCACAGAGATTCAGTGACTTGATTAGGTTCACACAGCCAGCTGTGGCAGAAATGGTATGAGAAGGGGCAGCTAGGTGGCACAGTGGATAGGGCGGTGGTCGAGGAGTCAGGAGGACCTGAGTTCAAATGTGACCTCAGATTTGAACTGGGCAAACTCTGGGAAAGTCACTTAACCCCAATGCCAAGAAAGAAAGAAAGAAGGAAGGAAGAAAGAGAGAAAGAAAGAAAGAAAGAAAGAAAGAAAGAAAGAAAGAAA